TCCAACAGTCGAAAACGGTCTTCTTCACGCCACTTGAAATGTGTAGCACGTCACATAGGACATTGCATGTTTAGTGTAGATTATTTCTCAGTTTGGATATTTTCCTAAATTTGCAGACCTTACAGGCACTGGCCTAACACCAGGGAATCCGCAACAGCATTTGCCAATTACTGCGGGCCCGAATAAATAAATTACAACAACACCCATATTAAACAACAAAGAACAGTACTAACAGTTCCTACATACAGCACAATAATGACGCTGTGAGGCTAGGAACAGAATTACAATTAGGACACATAGTTTTATAACTACGAGGATCCTCAACATCGTAAAACTGGTACCATGCACAATATTTACCCCCTGTCGAGGTATCTTGTTGTTAGGGCGTTGTTAAATTTCCAGTTTATAGATCATTTTAACAAGACAGCTGTAGAGATCACACCTAATCAACTAGTCTGGCCTGTAATGTGACCAATGCACATGGTTACTGGTCTCTCTTAACCTGAGTATCAGGCCGTACTTTTTAGGGCACAGGCACGCCTGATCATGGGCGAAGGGGAGAAAAGTACGGCCTGACACAAAAGTGGCATTTTGCCTGGTTGTTCAGTCCAGAATCTGGACTGAGCGCTGATTGGCCGATTAGACAAACGATTTTTAAATCTGTCATTTGATTGGCTGGTGCTAATTAGATTATACTATTGTTGTTGATATATTTTATAACGATCACAATTCACAACTACAATTATAGCCGGCCCACTAAACGGCTGAATTTAAATTAAAACTGCAGTAAAATTAGAAAATAATCGCAAATTAGCGAAATATATTGCAAATGTAGCTTATATTAAATCGCCATCAGATTGCACTATCGACTGACGTATAGTTATAAAGTATACTTTTAATATAATTATACGTCAGTTTGTTGATAAATACGGCAAGCGCCATGTAAAGCTCATTGTAGTCACTGAAACCTCTGCGGAAGAGAGAGCAATCGGGTGGCGATTTAATATAAGCTACATTTGCAATATATTTCGCTAATTTGTGATTATTTTTGTTAATTTTATAAGTTCATTGCAGTTTTAATTCAAATTCAGCCGTTTAGTGGGCTGCCTATGCTATAATTAGATTGTTGTTGTCGTTGTGTGAAATTTAAATTTCTCCTGCGACATTTTGATTGGATACTAAATATAAACTTTGCTGTGGGCGGAAAGCGATCAGGTTAAGGTTTGTGTCAGGCTCTATTTGTAAAATAGAGCCTGATACTCAGGTTAGGTCTCTCTTGTCGACAACTTTGCACAAGTCCACAAAAGGAAACTTTTGCACGGACCTGTGCAACTGCACATTTCTTGCAGTTTTTTTTTTAAATCTGCACAACGGCCAAAGCCTACTCTCTTAAAACCTTTCTAACCAGCTTACTCTCAACATTCATTCGTGATTGTACAGTACATTTCAGAAGCAAGGAACCTTACCCAGCACATGAAACTTGCCCGTCAAAATAATAGGCAACTTAACACGCCCAATGAAAGGTTGAAAACAGATCATACGAAAATGCACTGAACTGGAATACCAATGGTAGTTAAATTACTGACTTTAAGCCAATAAGGAGGACACTTATGAAAACCATCTTAAGAAAATAATATGAAAACCATCTTATGAAAACTTTTTTCATCATCTTCACGTCCTCCCTTTTTGAGGACCCTTATGAAAACCATCTTTGATGATAAGGCTTCCTCACAAAAGATTGTTTTAAATGAATAAATAAATAAAATATGGACAATGAACACCTACAAATTACGGGTAGTAATTATATCAGTCCAATTTAATAATTATACATCGTTATCGTCATCTAAGTCCCTAATTTTGAGCAACGGTCAAAAACTAAAAGTAGGTAACTAGTTGACGCTCTGAGAAACGTTTGGTGGTTTTGTGCACACAGTATCGATCATGCTAATTTTTGTGCCTTTGCAACACAAGTAACTGTATTACAATCACACCTGAGAGTCGAAGGAGGAGATTCAACTTTTAAAAAACTGTTTACCGATACCAGATATTAGGAAGACAAGATTCGGAGTTGTGTTCTAGTTTGATTTTAGCTGGAATCAGTATTGAGCACCATGCAGAACGCTTCCACAAACAAATTCACATCAGGAGCCAAACGACAGAAAATCAAGACATATAGTGAATAATTTTATGTGTGACAAACAATTGAAATCAGAGTTATAGTTGCCTGCTCTTCAGGCTCTATGAACTGTGCAGCACTACAGTACGAAAAGCAGTCAAGTAATATAAATAATGTGCCGAAATACTGTGCTAAGACGATTCAGTTTAGTTTAACAGGGTAGTTGGTGAATGCGTGCAAGGGATCTTATTGTACAATTTCCGAATATACAGCATATGACCATGTGTAAAACGAAAATCATAGATACTAGATATATAAACTAAAATTGTACACGCCTCTACACAGGAGAGAGCCGCTTTGGTATGTACATCCCAGAGCAGAACCACCATTCAGTGACAAACAGTCATAAATGGTGTTTTCAGAATTGATTTTCATAACACTAAAATTATGCCAGAAGTCAGTAAATGGTTAGTTACAGTATATACTCAATGGCAGTACAAAACATTACTAGCGATTATAAAGCAAATACCACATTTTTTGAAATGAGGTTGTTTTAAAATAATAAATGTAAAACACCAGGAGTCGGTGGATCAAAGCTGGATTAGTGCTAACCCTCTGCATGTCTGTTTATTTCAAATTCCTATTAATCCAGACAAGAACTTCTCAAGAAATATTTCAAAATTCATAAACAAGCAGTTGGGAATTTTGCTATCAGCTTTTCGAATAACTGTCCCAGGTGAATCAATGGCTAAAAGCTTGTGTTGTTATCAGGGGAATTAAGAGGAAAGACTGCGAAAATAACATATGTTCACCACATACTGTGTTCACCTGTATTGACATCATTGTTTATTTTACTTTATGTTCAAATAACACAATGAGTTCTTCGTCATTTGAATAGAGGAATGCTTTTAAAAGGTTGCTGGCATAAAACCAGAACACAAGGTTCTACACATAACATTTTATGAGAATAGCACTTTCTGTCTGATTACTCAACAACATCATGTGTTGACCTCCATCAGCTGCTTTCTAACACTAACTGAAACCCAGTTGTTAAATGTGATATGAAACAAAATATTATGAATTTTATGATGAGGCACTCAATAATTTCCTGGCCTTATAAAAACATGAAAAATAATGTAGCTTGATCCACAAGCAAAGAATAAACAATATAAAAACACATGTTATCAGTCTGTTTTTTTCCAAACTCTACAAAAGAACAAGACTCCCACACAATATGAATGCTTTATCCTGCATTTTCTTTCAAACATGAATATTGATATATGTCCATCAATTCGCCACTGCTGGAGAGCCTCGAGAATGCATTAAAGATGATTTGTCACTAATACTTTTTTTAACTCTGGATTTTGATACAAATTAGTTGCTAATTGACTGATTGATTGGCATCAAAAATCAAGAAATTATACAAGACTGTTAGCAGTCAAATTTTAGAGGTTAGCAATTAGAATTTTGCCATATCAGAGATAATATATCATTTATTGTGCATAAAGCCAGATTTACAATACAGACTGTGAAATGCCAGGTTAATTTCAGGGTTGCTACTTAATTAAATGTTAAAAATATATTTAGGGCTTGAAACAAGATTCCTCATAATCATGATGAATATTTCAAATCAGTGCTTGTCCGGGGCAAGTAAAAATCATTGCCCAATTAGAAGTCTGTTGCTTTTTGGTTGCCTGAACAGGCAAGTGTTTGCCAGACATTAATTGTTACACTGAATTGTTTGCTTGTTTATGTCACACATTTTTTTATGAGAATACCAATCAGCTGAATCAACACTTAAGGTAAACAGTTATCGCAATTTTCAACATGAAAAAGGGCAAGTGCCGCCAATAATGTAGCAAAAATGAAATTATCTATGAGAACTTTTTGCCAACAAAGATTTTAATTCTTCCAAAAACTTTGCTGCTATGTTTATAAACAAACAAAAAAGTTAGTTTTGTGTAGTTCCCCCCCCCCCCCCTTCTCACTCTGCTTATTGGTCATGTTTCAGAATTCATTCATTACCCTGCCGACACTTAACATTACTCTCACATTGGTAGAAACAGTTTTAGAATGTTATGTAATAAAGTAAGAACAGTGACAGTCAACACAGGCAGTAAATATATGTTCTATTTTTGAAATATTGAGATACAAAAAATTGTCAACAGTCAAACTGCCACCGAAATCTAAAAACTGCCACCAAAATCTAACATATTCATAGGGGAATATTATTAGCACTGACGAAGATCCAGGCTTACGGATCGAAAGCTTTGCAGTAATAAATTTACGTGGTGTTTCCACAAACAAAACTATTATTATATTCATAGGGGGTTTAAAAAAATACCTGTGGTTCTGGTTCCCGACCGACCCTATTTTTCCTGCCGACACTATTATATTTTCAACGCGATTGACCGTGCGACCCTATTTTCTCCAGGTGGTTGCGAGCTGCTGCTAAAATGGCGTCTGTTGCCACACTAATTATTGAAAAAAATATGAAAAAAATATTTTAATTAAAAAAAATTATTTCCGACCTACCGACCCTAATTTTTTCGCGATATGAAACCGGAACCACAAGTATTTTTTTTACACCTAGCAATTTTTAGCAGGACTGGGTAAACATAAGAACAGAATGGTGATTAACCCATTAATTAAGTTGCATTGCATCTAATGCCAGACGACTTTACTCATCAAGGGGAGAGTGCTGACACTCGATGCGTTACTCACTCCTTGTTAATTATATGTGGTCTGGGCAACCAGTGTACCCGGATGGCAAGTTGTAAAAATAGATACACCACTGCTAAATTGGATCTGAATTAGTAGCACTAATCTCTGTGAATATAAAGTACATTAAATTTTGCAATCAATTTAACCATGACATGCCTACCTCACAGACACTGTAATCTTCACTATCTAGAAGTTGACAAAGAGATGGCAATAACTGTGGCCAATGAATAAGTTCTCCTTTTTGAGCAATCGTTGTTATCAGTATACCAATTGTTGCTCGTATTAAGGGTGATGGATCACCAATGGCTTGCAGACACTCAGTTTTCACAAACTCTTTAACATTATCCGGGAATAAATGATAGTTTGACTTCACATTGTTTTTGACAATTAAACCTGCCAGGGATCGAGTGGGTTCATCTTTAAATACAAACAAGAAATCACAATAAAATATTACTACTGTCATGCACAGTCACTTCTGTCTCAAAATGGTAACATCATTATGTAACTAAATATTAAATTATATTGTAGATAAGGACTTTGTGGATGGAAATTGCAAGTGTGAATTTTATACATTTATATTCGCAATTTCCATCTACAAAACCCTTCTACAAATTAGTCATATCGAGTGTAGATGCCCCAAATCCTGATGAATAATTATATTAATTTTCCACTCAGTGGTTGCACAATAAATTACCTTCAGTTTTAAGTTTGGTTAAAACAAAAATAAGATAATTATTGAAGTCCGGGAATTGATTGAGCGACTCCAATTTCTTATTAAATTGTTAAGTAGATAAAACATTTACAATGTAGAAGTAGAATGACATGTATGGCAAAGCATATGACACCACGTGTATGGCATCTTCATTCCTGGTCAGAAAAATACGGCGCGCTTAGATTACTTTGTATGATCAATAAACAGTTTTATATTAACGATAATGTCAGAGTTTTAACATAGGAAGGATACTTGTTGAACAGCTCGTTGAATAGCATTATCAGGACTTTGGCTTTCCTTTAAAAGGTCCAAAATTTGCTTCAAACCGTGTTCATCTGGTTGCCACGCCATCTTGCTTTCTTCAAGCTCGTCCTTGCGTGGGCGATCGGTATTATGTCCCGCGTGACGTACACGAATGACGAACTATTTGCGTATAAATTCCTTCCGGAAATTATGTCACCAACCTCCGTCGCAGGGACTGTTATATCACTTGGCTATAGAGCCCACTGATAGAGTCTCGTTTTCGTGATTGAGACGAGTAGACGACTGGGTTTGACTAATGTCACCTACACGGAAGCGAGGCTCTATAGCCAAAGTGACGTACTTTCTGGAGGGATGTATTGGTTGATTGAGGTTTGCAGCATCTGTTGTTTGATGCGACCGAGTTTAATTAAGTTGATAATTTCTAAATAGTACTTAGTGGGGTTTTGTACTAGTTTTTTTCTCGTTTAGCTACAGCTAGTACATAGCGATGTGTGTGATGCCAGGGCCGGAACTATTGGCGGGGTGTAACACCCTCCAATGAAAATTTGTGTGATGCCAGGGCCGGAACTATTGGCGAGGTGGCCCTCCAATGAAAATTTCCAATTTCCCCACAGGGGGCCGCCGTTTCGTGTTAAATATTAAGGAATATTGTGAAAAATTGAAGTGCAAAAAGCTCTGAAAAACGTATTTTAAACATAGATATCTTTTAAACCCCCCATTATCCCAAGAACATATTTGGAAAAATGTTTTGGGACGTTTTATTTTCGCGAGAAAACGTCGACCTCCCCCACCTCCCCTCCCCGACAGACCATTGATAGGGACTTCGGTGGCCAAGCGGTTAGCGCACTTACCTTTCACCTCTGAAGCCGCAGGTTCAAGCCTCAGTGAGAACTTTCTCAATGCGACTCAAACTCAGTCCTCACGTGAAAAGAGTAAAAGTCAACACTCTGCCGAAAGCCGTGGGTTTTCTCCGGGTACTCTGGTTTCCTCCCACAGGGAAAGTTGACAGGGTGGGTTAGGTAAAAAGGGTCCACAGTAATTGGCATATGCTGTTGTGGTGTCCCTGCCCTAGTTGGCAAAGCTAAATAAATAGTAAATAAATAAAGATATCCCTAGTTACGTCCCTGTGTGATCCAATGCAAACAGAATCATTTGGCGGAGCAATAGTTTCGTCACGTTCACTGATGATTACTCTCGATGTCGCACAGTGTATTTTATGAAGTAGAAGGGGGCGTGAAATGGGGGCCGTGAAATTCCTGTGACACCGGGTCACCGCACAGTAAAAGCTTTTCAGTTGAACATTCAGATAAAAAACTTGCTTGGAGAATGCCCAAGAAGGTTACATTTACAAATTTTCAAATATAAACACAATTTTAGGTAATTACAAGAAATGATATGTTAGACGTATCAAGTAATATGACATATAGTATCTTGCAGATATAAATATTTTAATATTCTATTATTAACTATGACAGATGAGTCAGAGGACAGAGGTGCTAAATTATGTATCTATCTATTCAAAGTAATTAAACGCGGCAACAGGCTAAGACTTCATTCATGATGCTAAGATTATAATCAGATTTTGTATAGACTTGTAGAAATCTCTTGGCAAAATAAAGTTTCCATATTGAAATCTTGTTTGTCCACATTTGTAAACGAAGTTGTTCGGCAAGTTGGTTCTGGGTTACTGACAATTTTGAAGAAACTGTCGTACATGACGGTTTACAATATCTGGTTCATCATGTTGTACCCAATGAGTTGCTCCTTCAACTATCCTAAAAGTCAAGACACGGTTTAAGCAGTAGTTACAGTAGGTTATTACCAGTTCATTGTGTGTTCGTGTGAGTGACAAGCCGCCAGCTCGGCTAGGTGAGATAAAAGTCGAGTGGGGTAAAATTTTCCATATATAAACGCTTCATCCAAACTCAACACAAAATAAAACGAAAAACCAAACAAAACAACACAAAAATACCCGTACTTTATGGTCAAATTTTCGACGTACTGATCCAGACCATTCAATAAACTTACATCAAGGGCTTTATCTTTGTCTCCCTAATAATACACAGCTTTGCATAAATTATAGGGTTAAGGCTAATGAAAGGGTTGGCTAATTATTAGAATCAGGAACAGTTAAAGGATGAGAGTTAGAGTAAAGGTGTTTTAACAGTAAAACCACGGTCGCTTTTCTCGCTTCACTATGAAAGAGCAACATGTTTTGTCGTCTCAAGTCCAATTGTTTTACTGTTTTTAATCTTCTGTACAGGTACCATACACTAGCCAAGGAAGTTCAATGTTCTTGTTGGAACGTGCAAGATAAAGTTGTCAACGTACCCAAACAACAAGTGTTGGCATGGGGAGAGTTTTCTTTGCTTTTCTCTTCCATGGTTGTTGATCTCCATACAAGAGAGAAGATCGATAGTAGTTGATACTAGCCGTCCATGCACCAGGTTTAGATAATGTATATCTGTATGCATCTTTTATTTCATCTGTCCACTACAAACATAACAAATGGATTAAACATTGCATACAAGGAATATAACTTTCGCCTTTTCAAAAAAAGAGAATGAAGATAAATTTACATGTACTAAAATTCAAATTGCAAAAAGAGCAAACCATTAATGATAGGTAGGCTTGACTATTGTCAGGTGAACATTAAATTCATAAATATAAATATTTGGTTATTGTCAGCAGAATCTTATACTAAATGAGATGGTGCAGTGAACCATCAGGTACAGTAATTGGTTACTCCGGCACGTACAAACTGTATCACGAGTTTGTTAGTAGGAAAACAGGTGGGAAATTTGTCTCAGCATGCGCGAGTAAAATGAGTCACGCAATTGTGTGGAATACACGCAACGCGTGTTTACAAAAAAGCACAATCGTGTAAATATTGCAAAATGTTTGTACAAAATAAATGACTGTTTTATGTTGAAAGAGTGGACATGTTCTAAATTAATCATACATAACTTTTTAGTGACGTTCTATTTCAGTACCCTGCCATTGTCTCTGGTGGGCTGTCCGTGTGCATTCGATCTGAAACAGTTGCTACTTTGCTGTCGAAGAATTTCGAATGTTTACATGAAAATAGAGGCAAGTCATGCATTTTACAACCTCTTAAACTGTATGACCCCAATCACGTCTTTCTTCGTTTATTACGGTTTTAAACAAGCCATAGATCGACGTATAGACCAATTGCAAAACTTAGTGGCCGCGCCTTCATACTGCACGAGAACGAGGCTTATTATGCAAAAACAAAACAATTTCTATAATTTTACATAGCGAAAAGGGAATTTTAGGGTTTTTAAAGTGTTTTTTCTTGAATCTCTTTGATCTTTTCTTAATATTTCGTGCTAGGTTATATAAATATTCGTTAAATTTATCTAAACATTGATTTCCCACTATATTTTTACCCGCTTTGGAGAGATATTTCGTTGTTGTTTTAGCATGCGATGGAACAAACATATGGAAAAGATCAATCTAGACTTTAAAATCTGATCAAGATGCAAATATAATAGTCAGTATAACTTAATAAACTAAAATATAACTCTTTCTACCCAGATTTTTTTAGACTTCGTGCGAGAAAAAAAGATTTTGTCAAAGGATAATAACATAAAATTTCTACAAATTTTGCCCGACATTTACTTTCATATTTTTAAAGTTAAAATCGAAAACTTGCTATTATATTACAACTGAAACAAAATTAATCAATGTTACAACTTATTCTTTGAAAAGTATTAATAAAACAGACGGAAAATACCTGATTCTTTCTCTGGTATAATCTGCTTCTTTTATCGGACGGCGAAAAACAGCAAAACTTTGCCTTGCACGCCGCAAAAAACAATGAAATTTGCCGTAAGACTAAATCTATGAACAAGTTTAATAAAGATTTACATAGTCAAAACAAAAATATTGGAAAAAAATGAAGAGATTACCATAAAAACGCGTCTCAAACACTGAAATTCATTTTTTGCCATATAAAAATATAGCAAAATGATTTGTTTTCAGTGTGACCAGCGCTAGCTAGACTTTTTCAGCAGTCATTACCAAAATTTTGTTCAAATTTTACTAAATTAAGAAAAATTTTACCAAATGTCGGCTTCCCAAATAATTACGTCATGATAATGCCAAAAAACAATAGTTACGTCATCAAAGTAGAAAAAATATTCACAAAAAGTGTCTCGAAATACTTGTTGCTTTCATCGTATTGCAGTTTTTGCTAATGATAAGGCTTTATTTCTTAGGCTTGGCAGTTCTGTTCATCACTTTGAGCACGTTGTTAAACAAGAAACACACATTTTTACCAACTATTTTTAATAATTCAAACCTTTCAGATTTTACCAAAATTTTACCAAAAGAAACTCCGATTACCAAATTTTCTTGAAAACTCACGAAATTTTACCAAAAGTAAAACTTTTTACCAAATCTGGTCACACTGTTTGTTTTTGCATAATAAGCCTCGTTTTCGTGCAGTTGAAGGCGCGGTCACTAAGTTTCGCAATTGGTCTATACGGTATTTATTCCCATGTTCACGTCGCCATATTAACTTCTTCCAATCACTCGATTACAAAACAATCATCCCAAAACAAAGAATTCATGATCGACTTTTAAAAGAATAACCAATAATTTGTAAATCGTTGAATGGAAAGCAAAAAATCGTCAGCTAAAACAGCTTCTTGCTAACTTTCTGCTTTGTTTTGAATGTAAATACAATGAGCTTTGTTTCTGCCCGCAATTTTTTGGTCAGCGACGACAAATTTCCCACCTGTTGCTCGAACATATCGTCTTTGTAATAGTCTTGTTAGAATCCCCATTAAAAACACTATTTAGAGTGTTATTTGCAAGCCTGTATCTTCAAATCTGTATCTTTTATGAATATATTTCCATTTCTTGTCTGACTGTGAGCTCGAAGTGAGTTAATCCCAACCGGAAATACGACTGAGAACCATCAAAACAATGCGACGCTCGTATCGTATGACCCTGGAAAGGCCAGAAATGGTTCGCAAGGTCAAATTGCACCTACACGCGTGAGTTTGATGTCATCCCGGCCAAAGGAGCTTCTTATTGGACAATTATTGCGCAATGTACACAAGTGCGAGTAAAACCCGACATCTTGAAAAATTCAAAATAAATATTTCTACTCGCCGTATTCAAACGAAATTTTGTACACCAAAGCGCGTGAACACAAAGAGTATTTTACACATATAGCTGGTCAGCAAATGACGAAATGTTCAAGAGATATTCAAGATCTTGTGGATACGAAATTTAGAATCTTTGGTCAAGCGATGAGTAAATATATGATTGTTTCGGCTGTGTAATGTTTTGACGGCACTTGACCCCCTGTTCGAAAGGTTATTTTGTGAGGATTACTGTGATAGACTTTTATTTAAAAGGGGATAAATACTCGCCGAGATATTAATATTAGAAAAATTGTGTCGTAATATGATTCGAAAGGGGGTGGACGACAAAGAGTACAGATATTGTTTTTTTGAACATGATGGACAAAAAAGCAAAAAAATAAGGACAAATTTCGACGTTTCGAAAGCGTTTTTTGTTTTGCGCAACGAAGCAAACTACGCTTCTTGTCTTGCATGCGAAGCACGTGCTATTCTGGGTTAGCTATATTTGCATTTGTGGGTAATTGAAAGTTGAAATTCCTTTAGTAAATAGATAGATAGAAAGATAGAAACTTTTATTTAAACACGCTAACCATTGTCAACCTAGGCTGATTTCCATAAGGGAAATAAATAGCAGAACAAACAGCATAACAAATAGCAGAACCGACTAATATTGTAGGTTGCAGATTGTGGGAAGCGTCCTTCCCCCCCCCCCCCCCCCCCCCTCCTGGCCCAGAGAGATTCATGCGCTTGGCTCATACTGATGGCCTTTGGCTTTAATAATAATAATAATAATAATAATAATAATAATAATGGAAACGTTATTAATTTTTAAGTTACATACAATTGTAAATCTCACTTATATAAGGTAATTCACAATCGTCTACTTGAATCAATAACTATAACACAATATAACAATAATAACAAACCCCGTCGCACAAA